GATAAACCCTTAATGGAATGTATGACCTGTGCTTCTGGGTAAGTCACTGTTCCTGAATGGAAGGAGATAAATCCAAAGCCTGGACTCATATGCAGAGGCAGCAGATAGCCTCCTTCTGCACTGGGAATGAATGAATGAACCAATCACAGTCCAGTGGCACCTTAAAGACTAGCAAAATGTATCACAGCTAAAATGTTGTGAGTCAAAACTCATGAAAGCTTATGCTTAATCTTTCCCCCTTTATATTGCAACTGGACTACTGTTTAATTTTGTTACAACAGATTAACACAGGCTACCCCTCTGGAATTTTCAATATTACCAATGCAGAATTATCTACCTCAGAAGGAGGCCTGCTCAGTGTGGTGGCCTGTGCAGGATGTAGCAGTCACCCTCCTCTGTGGGTGGGCTTGTGGGAGCTTCCAATTACTGCATTATTTCTTGCTGCACACAAAAAGTTCACTTACAGCCACCCAATATACTCAACTACAAAGTTTCAGAATTTCTGCTATACGTGATGGAGACTTTTGTGTTCTGAGAGCAGTTTCTTTACAATGCTGCACGCTACAAGCACTGAAACAAAGACTCCACATCCAGGAGGCATCACAGATGAAACACATGTCTATCAGCCATAGCCTGGTGTGCAGCACATTCATGAAAGTTATGTGAGCATAAAATATGCAAATCAGCTGAATCTCTTGTCTCCAAGTTGGCCCTTGTTTTGGACAAACTGCCCATTTCAGGACTAGCATGTGCCAGAGAATTTGACTCTCATTACAAAGAAAACAAAAAAAATCAAAGCCCCGCTGTTCAACCATGATCCAAAAACCTGCAACCTAAACTCACAGACTACAGAGCCACAGGACAATTAACACAAGACTAAGTTTGTATTTTAAGAATTGGAATTCTCCTTCTCTCATGCTGGCTCTCAACAGGCAAAAGTAATTTTTCTCAGACTTCGCTTGGAGCAGTCCATATGTGCACTCCATTGCTAAGAATTAAAAAAGGCATCTGTCATGCTTGTGAAATTTAAAATCTGTCTTGTTTAGAAAGGTGCCTGGAAAAACTGAAGTGTCACCTTCCTTACTTCTAGTTCAGAGCATGTTCTTGCAATTTTACTGATTTCGACAGGGGTCTAACAGGACAACCCTAAAAAGAGTTCCACCTTTCTAAATCCATGGGAGTAATAGTTAGGATTGCACTTTGTTTAGAATTGCACTGTACAACTAAATAAGGCACACATCAAGACTGTGTGTATGAAACAATCCTGCAGTAGTGCAGAAAAAGACCAGCATTTTGTGTTGCCTAACAGTGGTGAGGACCAATGGATTTACATACTAATCTGCAGGGTTTGCCTTCCTTTTTCGCACTTCAGATACCATAAAGTTTGTTCTTTCATGTTCCAGTTATTGTGTCTGACAATGCTCAGTGATGGGACGTAATATTTGATTGAATGCCCTGGTTTAGTTAACAAGAAGACCTACTCTGTCAATAGCCACTAGCCATGATAGCTAGTACATCTCTGTGGTTATGGTTTTTAATTAATCTAAAGTTTAGGGGAACTCCGAGCCTAAAGATCACTTTATATTTCTGCTTCCCATGGCTTTCTCTATCCATTATTTCTTTATATTTGATGAGTGTTACCCAGGGGTCATTTCGTAGAAAAACAGGTGCAGGAGCTCATTAGCATAACTCATCAGCATAACTTATTTGCATATGCCACACCCCCTGACATCGCCGGAAGTGTGTCAGAAGGCAACACCCACTGATCAGGCTCCACTGGACTGTGTTGGATTGCTAGCTATTGGGGGGGGGATGTGCAGGTCTGTCATCACAGAGGAGAGCTTGTACCTGAATAAAACTTGGTCTTAAAGGTGCCACTGGACTGTTTTGGACCGGGGGGCCAGAGGGGAGCTCTGCAACTTACCTGGCTGCTTCCTGGTCTGACTGAGGGCTGCTGGGAGCAGGGGGCGGGGCTCGTTATTTATTTATTTATTTATTATTCACATTTATACCCCGCCCTCCCCCGTAGGGCTCAGGGCGGCTTACAGGGCAAGATAAACTTGCAGCAGTAAAACCACAATACAAAATAACAATATATCTGCATTATAAAACATTTTATACAATTTAAAAACCCATCCTATCTCACATAAAGTGCTCGGTGGTTACTAAAACTCCAAAAACCCAAGATGGTGGGACAGTTCCAACAATTCTTGGCAGACAGTCAATAGCGTCACGATGTTCCAAATATCTTCTCAGGGCTCTTCTCAGGGCCTCTTCAAATCCCCCCCAAGATGGTAACATAATAGGGGGGGCCAGCAGCCCCTACTCGAAAGCCTGGTGGAAGAGCTCCGTCTTGCAGGCCCTGCGGAACGGCATCAAATCCTGCAGGGCCCGGATCTCCCCCGGGAGCTCATTCCACCAGGTAGGGGCCGCTACCGAAAAGGCCCTGGCCCTTGTGGCGGCCAATCTTGCATCCCTGGGGCCCGGGATGGTTAACAGGTTTTGGGTCCCAGACCGTAGTGCTCTTGAGGGAACATACGGGGAAAGGCGGTCCCTCAGGTAGGTTGGACCCAGACCATATAGGGCTTTATAGGTAAGAACCAGCACTTTGAAGTGAATCCGGTACGCTATTGGCAACCAGTGCAGCGCTTTCAGTACAGGCTGTATGTGGTCCCTTCTAGAGAGACCCATTAACAGCCTTCATTGCATGTGCTCGCCCCCTGGGCTCTTTACTGCCGGAGCTCCACTCCTGTGCACTCCTGCAGGAAATGACCCCTGGTGTTACCATTTCATGCCTGATGAAATATTTACATTTCACCTCCTAACAGTGCAGTCCTAGACCAGAGTTATACCCATTGACTTCAATACACTTAGAAGGGTGTAACTGTTTAGGACTGTAGTTACGATCCAGCTGTGTGAGCTTGATATGAAGCCATCTAAGATCAGTGAGAATTCTGGAACATTTTAAAGGCAACAGCAAGTGGGGCACTGCAGAGTTTTGGTTCTAATTCAATTGTCTTTATAAGTGGGTCTCAACAGGTGTCTTACTGAAAATGTTCCTGAATGGCACTGTAAGTGTGCTCATATATCACGTGGTACTTCCCTCACCAATTCAAATATCAGGTTTCACTCTTGGTTCTGATATAAGCCTTGCTCTGTTTTAACTTCAAATCTCAGCTTCATATCTATTTTTCAGAGAGAAACCCAAAATGCATGTTATATGTAGAAGTGCCATAGGCATGTCAATGCAAATGGCTTCCCCATCATCATCCCTCTCCTGGCCAACGATATGAAGGAATGCTTGCTCTGTGGATATCACATCGTGGATCACGCTGGGGAGGGACTGTGGCTCAGTGGTAGCATTAGACCAGCACTTCTATAGTCATCTAGGACCTCAGGTTGCCCCAGGAAATAGAACAGGGAGCAGCTAAAACCCCACACCTCACTTTCATACCCGCAGAAGAGATGCCAAAAGGCCAAGGAGGAAGAAGCAACTTGATCAGGTTCAACAGAAATAATTAGCAAAATTTGTTACAATGCAGAATGGGGTTTCCAGGTCCCCTTTTGCAAGACATCTCATCCTAAAAGCAAAAAATTCTGATTTACTAAACTCATTTCAGGTTCCAGCCCCAAGAAATGGCCATAGAGTTTGCCCAAATACCCTTGCAACATCCCCAATGTGATGACGTCCCTCCAGGCAACATCATCTTGTCGGGGACATCACACAGCGACATCCCCATTTAAGTGAGGGATTTCCCCCACCTGCCAGCTGGTCAGCAGCAGAGGAAAGCCCCCCCCACCTGGACCTGGGGGCTGGCAACCCTAGTAGACGGTGAATCATAATTATAATCATTGTTCCAAGACACAGACTTTGTGCAGAGTTTGCTTTCCTAAATAACAGTTTAAGACCTACTGCAAATATCTGGAGTGTGCCCATAACATGTAAGGTGTGTACACACCTCTTTCCACATCACATATATCTCATGCAGTCTGAATGCACAAGAGAGAAAAATGTCATGCCTGGTCTACACATTATGAGATTATACCACAGGAATACGTAGCATACCCACTAATCCAGGAAATACTTTAAAAAGACTGAATCCCGGTAAACAACTTGAGAGCATTGCAGACTGTAACACTCACTTTGATTGCCAACAGGCCTGGAGAAATATCCTGTCCCTTAAAACAGGCTTGATGTGTGGAGATGGGCACCTGGAGCTTTTCGTGGCATGGAGGTAAATAATTTCACCTATAAATAATATCCCGTTTTTGTTGTTCAGTCACACAGTCGAGTCCGACTGTTCACGACCCCATGGACCAGATCACGCCAGGCCCTCCTGTCTTCCGCCGTCCTCTGAAGTTGGCTCAATTTCATGTTTGTTGCATCAATGACACTGTCTAACCATCTCATCCTTTGCCGTCCCCGTCTTCTTTGACCTTCAATCTTTCCCAGCATCAGGGTCTTCTCCAGTGAGTGCTCCCTTCTCATTTGGTGGCCAAAGTATTTGAGCTTCAGTTTCATTATCTGGCCTTCCAGGGAACAGTCAGGGTTGATTTCTTTGAGGATTGACTGATTTGTTCTTCTTGCAGTCCAAGGGACTCTCAAGAGTCTCCTCCAGCACCATAGTTCAAAAGAATCTATTCTTCGGCGCTCGGCCTTCCTTATAGTCCAGCTCTCGCAGCCATACATGACTACTGGGAATACCATTGCTTTGACCATGCGGATATCCCGTTTAGCCTCTGTTAAAGGGACGGGAGACAATGGAGGACTTTGTCAAAATGCCTTGCTGACACCAAGATACGTTGTGGCAGAACAGCCCCACTCTGACCTTCAGGCCCCATTCCGTCCTGCCCTCCAAGGCACCTGCTGCCATCCAAAGTCTCCACTCGTCATGTGCAACCCACCTGGCGTTCCCACGCTTGGAGGGGCTTTTCTATTCCTCTGTTGGCTCACCCATTGTCAACACCTGGCCTTTGTAGGAACTGCCCATTGAGAGGACCAGGGCTCCCAGCTTCTGGCCTCATGTCTGTATTTCCAGCTATCCGCCATCTAGTTACCACAGGGACAACTTACTGCACTTAGGCACCACTGGGGGAGTAGCCAATTGACTTCTGCTCCCTTTCTGTCTGTTGCTCTTTTTAAAATAGCAATTCCCAAACAGTGGAGGTCTATGTGGTACAGAAAACCATGAGCAGCATTAAAACTTATGAAACATTTATTAAAAAGAAAATGCCCACATGCATACTCTCAGCACAGCAACGGAGTGAGCAAGTGACTAAAAAGAAAGGTATAAATACACAATTCCGTTTTGCTTTCTGTACATGCCCTAGCAGACATGAATCTAAGTCAAGCGTTGTTAAATTAAGTTACAGTGGTTCTAAAGGGTTCCCATAACTTTTCAGGCTCTCTTCATGCCTGCAGTCCTCCACTTGGCAATGTCTGCCTTTAGCAGACCCCAGGTGAGACCTCTGTCTGCCTCAAAGGAATCAGCACCAAAAGAGACACTCCTCCATGTCCCAAGGAGTGTTAACATCTCTGTTTCTCTACTCACTGGGCAGGTCAAGTCAGGGCAGGTCAAAAAAGCTTTTCCTGAAGTCTCCAGGAAAATACTTTTCTAGGGTTTTCAACCTCCAAAACTCTGCTACCTGCTTGACTATCTCATTGTATAAAGCCAGAGCTTCCATTTGTATTTCTAAAGCCTTGGTGAGTTTGGCTGGTGAACAACTCACTCCCCTTCCAAATGTACTCTGCCACGAGATATATATTTTTAAAACTTAAGGTGAAGGTTTTGTTCAGGCCAAACCTGCAAAGAAAAATGCATTTCTCCACGTATACCAGTAACATACCCACACTCCATCAGAATATCAATCTGGCAAGATTTATTCTTAACAATTTCATGCTGGCTTCTACTACATTTCCCCCCAGATGTTTACAAACTGACCACTTTGTGATTTGTTCTAGTATATTTCCTGGTTACCAGACTGACAGATCTGTTGTTTCCTGAATCCTTCTCTCCCCCCTTTTTGAAGATTGGGGAAACATTTGTTCTCCATTCTTACGGCACTTCACGATTCCTCCAGAATTTTATCAAATATGTTAGAGATTCTGCGAGTGTATCTGCATAATCTTTTAACACCCTAGGATATCATTCATCCAACCTAGATGATCTGAACTCTTTCAATAGAGCCAGATGTTCCCTAATCAACTCCTTATCACACTTGAGCTGCAGTCCTGTCCCTTGATCATTTGTGCTGCCTTTGCTAGGCTACACACAGGCCATGGTCACACTGGCAGCTTGGCACGATACGGTGCCACCTCTAACTGAACTGGTTGAAAGTGTTGCGGGGCATATCAGCCACACAGCACACCCTGCTGCGGGTTACCCATGAAGATATCCTGTGGTAAAGCATCCACATTATTGCAGCACCTCAGCCACGGAGCGCACCGCCAAAAAAAAAAATCGAAATGCGTGTGCATAAGGCAATTTAAAAAAACCACCCTCTCTAGAAGCAGAACGGATCTGCAGGTTCAGGCTGCCAAATCCATTCTGCGCACGCTCCCCTGCATTCAGACATCCGGCCATGCACAATGACTGTGCGGGGAACCGAAAACACCACTTGTGATGTGGTGCCTTTTTAACCCGGCTCTGAGTCGTCCTATGACAGGATACGTATGGCTGGGGAATGCCTGACAGATGTGACTGTCTGACTGCGCCCATTTGATCCAGAGGGAAGGAGGGGCTGTGTCGGGCCAAATTGCCCATGTGATCACGGCCACAGTTTCCCTTTTGACCTAAAATGGAGGCAAAAGGAGCACTTCTGCTACAGCTTTGTCACCTGTTAACATTTCATCATTCTCACTGAGTAGTGTAACTGTTTCCCTCCTCTGCCCTGACCTGGATAGCCCAGGCTAGCCTGATCCCGTCAGCTCTCAGAAGCTGAGCAGGGCTGGCCTTGGCTAGTATTTGGAAGGGCAACTTCCAAGGAATACCAGGGTCGTAACACAGCAGCAGGCAATGGCAAACCACCTCTGAAACATCTCTTGCCTTAAAAACAAGTCTAGCTTGCCACCTAGTGGTGCATAACGCTACAGAGCTAGAACTTCAGGCTGCCAGACGATCTTAGGATCTAAAGATAGATCAAGGTGGGCAGCTGTGTTGGTCTGAAGCAACAGAGGAAAGTTAGAGTCCAGTGGGGCACCTTTAAGACCAACAAAGCTTTATTCAAGGTGTGAGCTTTCGTGTGCACGCACACTATGTCAGACAATGAAATGGAATTACATATCATAGTTGTATATATAGGTGTGGCTTGTAAAATTAGCAAGCAAAATAGTGGAGATGTTTGTTAACAGATCAAAAGAGTGACACGCTCGGTTTCTGGTTATCATCTGTTTGGGTTCAGATTTTATTTTTTTTGCATTTTGGAGAGGGAAGCCAGGGGAGGGGAGGGACCTGTCATGATCTGGGCTGTGCAAGTAAAAGCCTAGCAGGCCCAGGGAGCCTGAGTAGCAGTGGGGGAGGCCAGGCCTACAACTCCCAGAAGTCCCTGAGAGGTTTTGGTGCCAATTTTAGCCAATTACAGAGAAAGGGGACTTATAATAAAAGACCTGGTAAAGAAGAAGAGCTGTTCTTCTTCCAAGAGAGCAGGGCCAGAGGCTGCTGCTGGGAGAGACCCTCACCCTGAGAGGAAGGGTGAGTAAACGCAGCCCCAACTGAGACAGTGAACTAGGGACTGTAAGTCTAGTTGCGTTAGGGCATTTGGTTTCTTTTCTCTTCACCCACTTATTGTTATTGTTCTTGCATCTTGTTTGTGTAGTATGAATGGGAATATAAAGATTTTCATGTATAGGGTTTTTTTTCTTGATTGTTCATATTCATATTTCTCTGGTTTTTATAGATTTGTTCTTTAAGTAATATTTTATTAGGATGTTAGAAAGGCCTGTTATATAGAAGGCTTTCCTCTTGTAGGTCTGATATTGTTAGCAGACAACATAATAGGTACAAAGTTCATGATTCTGTAGTTCTTAGGGCAAACCTTTCAATGTCTGGGTCAGATAAGATTTTAGTCTGATATGAAGAATCCTTGCCCATTATCATTTAGGTTAGGTTAAGTAAACACTTAGTTTGACATAGATATGTTTCTTTATATCTGGCCAATCAGAGGATTATTACTCAAATTACCACTGTCTTTTGTAACCAATTATGCTGTTTGAATATTGTTTTCTTGATGATGTCAGTCCATGTATAAAATATCATGTATTTCCTGAATATGTTCAGAATATGCTCAAGAAGATGAAGAAGAAAAAGAAGAAAGTTGTCAATATTGTTTTCCTGTTAATTGAAGCATATTTCCTGAATATGCTGAGAAGAAAGCAGTCAGTTTTGATGGGTCCTTTGGCCTAACTGTTTTCCGTATTTCATTACAATAAAATACAAGAACTTCCTCCTCATTTGACTTCATTTTTTACATGGAATCTAATATGTGCAATATTTGTTATGTATATTTGACTGACCTCCTGTAAAATAAACCTTTAATTTGTTGTTCACTCTGCCTGGTCCTCACACAT